TCCATTCCCTGCATGCCAGGGGTACACCAAGCTACCTCAGAGCCTTTACACTAACTGCTCCCCATATAATGATCATCACACACTTGACTCCTTTTCCCTTCCAAGCATTTGCTGAAATGCCACCTTTCCAGAGAGGCCTTTCCCGACCAGCCAATCTAGTAGTCTTCCCCATCCATTCAAACTCCACCCTTTCATCATTTTACCTTATTTTTTTCCTCCCAACTAGAATATACCTATAAGAGAAAAGAAACGCTGTCTTGTTCACCACTGTATCTCTAAGGGCTGTAAACAATGCCTAGCATGTGGGAAAAATGCAAATATTTCTTGAATAAATGAATGAGATAAAATCTCTAACTTGTAAACTATTTAATGAAGAAGGGTCATGTGCAAGGTCCCATGACGGTGCTCCTCAAATTTGAGTTGCTTCCATAAGAATTACCAAGAGTATTTATATATGAGGCCTAAGAACTCCCTCGTGATTTTTACACGACTGCAGCCACTATAACACAGTATATTCTATAGATCCTAATAGCAGAAACATCTTTATATCACATTATAGCACTAACTCTCATCTCCTACCAGATCAGTCCTTCACCTCAGCCACGCCTTTGAGAATGGCTTATTTGCTTTACAGACCTAGCACATTTGAAACATCAGCTAAAATCCCATTCCTCTGGGTAGTCATATTCACATAAGTTTTCACAAATAGTAAAGAACTGTTGCACGTGGGCGTGAGCACACACACACACGCAAAGCTTGCCTTAAGAAATTTTACCTGTTTTTACCAAATCTTAACTTCCTTCTTGCTCCATTATTCTTGATTTGTGAGTTCTGCTGAGAACTGGCACTGAGCTGAGCCTGGATTATCTTCTCAGCCACAGGGCAAGTCAAGTCAGCTTGAATAGCAATAACATAGTTTAGCTATTGATACTTGCTTCTGCCCCAGCAGAAACATTTAGCAATCCACAGATCCTATGACAACATTTCTTTCCCACATCCTCCAAGGTCAGCATTATCTGCCTTTTTTGGTTAACGGTCCATGGTTCAAGTTTTTGTTTATTTATATTCTCAAAATGAATAACTATTTTGTCGCTGATTATAAATCTAACACATGCGTACTATTAAATAGCAAATATTACAAACTTGTATTAAATATAAATAAAAATTCATCAATAATCACACTCCTCAAGGCTATTCATTTTTATAATTTGGTATTTTGCCTTCCAAGCTTTTATGTACAAAAACAAATTTTCATATAGGTTTTTAACTTAATGAATCATCACTGTTCTATAACCTAACATCTCATGTGTGTCTCCTCTACTTTCAATACTCACACTGAACACTTCTGTGACCAGACGTGTAGGAATTTCTCCAGACCATGCAACTCCAACTCTACAGAGGACACCAGCTGGTGTCCTACAATTTATCTCAGTTCTGACACTACTTACTTGGAAAAAGCATCAAATCCCACAGGTTAAAGGTTCAGTCCCACAAGAATGGCCTCACCCTACCCCCACTTCAGATGGCAACTGTAAGTCCAGGTTGTCACCTCTGCTTTTGATCCATCGGCTATAAACCGAAGGTCCCCATGATCTCCTCCTCAGGTTCACTTAATTTGCTAGAGCGGCTCACAGAACTCAGGAAAACAGTTCACTTACTAGATTACTAGTTTATAATAGATATAACTCAGGAACAGTCAGGTGGAAGAGATGCACAGGACAAGGTACGTGGGCAGTGGCACTGAACTTACACGCCCTCTGGGTGTGTCACCCTCCTAGCATCTCCACTGTTCACCAACCTGGAAGCTCTCTGAACCCCATCCTTTTGGGTTTTCATGTTAGCTTTATCATGTAAATATGACTGATTAAATCACAGGCCATCACTGATTAACTCAATCTCCAGCCCTCTTTTCTCTCCATAGAGGTGGGGTGGTGGGGTGCGCTGAAAGTTCCAAACTGACAACCAGACCTCATCCTTAGGGGTTTTCCAAAAGTCACTCCATTAACAGTAACTCAGGTGTAGTTGAAAGGGGCTTGTTATCAATATCAAAATACAGCTCTATCTTTTACTATTTAGGAAATTCTAAGGGTTTTAGAAATTCTGTGCCAGGAACTAGACAAACACCAAATATTTATTTCTCATTACAAATCATATGATCAAATAGGCTTAATTCATTTAACATTACATTTTCCATTTCAATGCTAAGATTTATCTGTTTTAAATGACTGCATAATACACTACTGCAAAAATATGGCAAAAATGTTCAACATCATTTCCAAAATTATGAATGATGCTGCAACACATCTTTATATAAACATCTGTGCATATCTCTAATAACTTCCTTAATATAAATGACTAGAAGAAAATCAGAAGTTTAAAGCTATGCTGTTTAATATGGTACTCACTAGCCACATTTGACAATTAACTAAAATGAAAAATTTTAAAATTCAGTTCCTCAGCTACACTAGCCACATTTCAAGTGCTCAACAGCCAGATGACTGTTAAAACATGGTAGCCAGTGGCCAGTGCCTACCATATTAGACAGTGTAGATATAGAACATCCCTATCATTGCAGAAGGTTCTATTGAGAGCCTGGGTCAAAAGAAAAATTCATATAAAAATTGATACCTGTATCCCACAGAAATGATGTAGCAACGTAAACTCCCAACGTGACTTCCTGTATCATCATCTTGTCAACATCAGATTAATATTCTGATCTGATAGATGAGACATGTTTTAATTTGCATTTAAATTATTAGAGAGGCTGAAAGTCTTTTTGCATTTTTTCAGCCATCTGTGGGTCTTTATTGTTGAATTATCTGAACTTTGCCTATTTTGGAAGAATCAAGTTTAAAGCTATCCTGTTCCTAATGACCTATAAAACCAATATGTACAGCAGAGACAGTTCTTCATCTGTTTTGCTGGTTTTCTAATAACTTCACAAAGATATTTACCAAAACAGCATAAAAATGGCTCACAGAGCAGTACCACAGTTAGCTAAAGGCAGTCTGCACTCTCATGGGCAGTTTCCTTATAGTGCAGCTAGTGGTTTACATTTCTGTAACAATGGCTTTCACTGCAGCATGTTATTTCTATGAGCTATTGCAACAATTTTCAAATTAAGCTATGAAAACATATGGATCGATAGACAAAATAGAAAATATTTACACTTTAAAAGTGAGTGTACTTATATGAAAGTCTGTGGTTCCCTGGATTGGTGGGGCTGAGGAGAAGGAATGAATGGTGACCCACACAAAGGGAGTTTCTGGCATGATGGAAATGTTTTCTTTCTTGATAGAGGTGTGAGTTACACAGAAGCATGGAGCTGTCAAAAGTCACTGAACTGTACACATTAGAACTTAGAGACTGTTTTACTATATGTATATTATGTCTCAATTTTTAAAAGGTAGGAAAAGTTTAAAAAAGCATTGTGCTGTTTAGAACATTCAACTTATAGGCAATAAAAATAATTTTAAATATTTATAGAACTTAAAATGTGATTTCCTGGCCAGGAGACAAAAAACATTTTGCTAAACTGAGAATGGGGTGCCAGAACTGTACAGCACTTGAGCCAAACCACTCAACTGTCATGCCAATGGCACTGCAGAAAATATCAAGGCAAAATACATTACGGCATCAGAAAAGCAATGCTAACATCTTAAGAGACATTTTTCTATAAAGCCTGCACCAGTGATATGAAAGCTGAACGGAACACTTTCTGGAAAGATCCTTTCCTGATGTTATTGACAGCACTTAATTTTCTAAGCCATTTCTACTGAGGCAGTTTATGAACTCGGCTCATTTTTGCTCTTTATCCTCCTCTTCTGGTGGCACACACGAGCACAAGAGCTAACACGTGCATGTTAAAAATCAATAGATTTAATAATGAACAGTGCCTAAGGAGCGACGAAGAGATGTTCCCCCTCATCTCACGCTACCTCCTCACTCCACTGGCACTGCGCATTTATTATCTCAGCTCCATTACCAATCTGTTACAACCTATTCAGCAAATAAGCTCTTCAGATGCTAAGCTACAAATCTCATTCAAGTTCTTTGCAGACAAGCTCAGATATTCCAACTCTTCAGACAACTTTGCTTTTGATGTCAAAAAGAAGGATATGTGGTGGACACCAAGACGTCTGTCTCCAAAAGCGAAGGCTTGCCCAGTTAAGGATGCGGCCCAGAGGCCAAAAGGCAGGAAGGTGTACATTTCATGTTATCTACTTTGTAGGAAGACGGCTGTTTTTGTTATTAAATTCTACATTATACTTTTTTTTTTGGCTTTGGAATCAAACAGATCTGCATTTGAGAATCAGTTCTGCTATTTATTAGATGTGCGATCTTGGGCAAATTACTTTACCATTTTGAGCCCTGTTCTCTTATGTGGAATACTAACAGTATATATCTAATAAGGCATATTGTGAAGATTAAATGAAAACATAAGTAACATTTTAAGCTCAGTGGCTGGCACATTATAGGTGCTTAAATAATAGCTGCTATCATATATAAATCTGTTCTATGAGAATGTTATGTAAATGAAACAGGCCCCAGTCACTGACTTTGGTAACCAAACCACCACCAGGATATTTAGGAAGGCCTTTTTTGTTAGCAAGGGATTAACATAAACAGCTAGCATTCAATAATTCTAAAGTCTAACCAAAAAACATCCATTACAGGAATTTCACCAAACAGCCATGGATAAGGTCATTAAAAAAGCTATGAGGTGTGTGTGTGTATTTTAGAAAATAATTACACAAGATGAACATAAGAACTCAGTGTTCACAGAAAAAGAAATTTCTTTGCTAAGCAGACACACTCAATGCTTCCCTGTCATGCTAATGATTAATCTCGGATCCATCACTATTAAGGCAATAAGGACACAGAAGGGCAAGTTACTCTCTACCACAGATGAAGTGGTCGATGATACAGCGTCAGCAACATTTACCCACTTTCAAAAGCAGTGTATATTGCAGATCATGCACAAGAAATAAAATATTTACCTGTTTCTCTTCATCTGGCATGTTTTTTTCCAGTTCTATTAGATATTCTTCATCTAGTTCAGAGGAATTCACATCATCAGGTTTGTTCTCAACCTTGTCCACTCCTGATTCCTCCTTCTCAAATGAGGCGATGCAGTCATGAAAGTGCTCCTCTTCTCCCTGGTCCTCCTGCGGCTGGGCCTCAGCACCCCTGAGCAGCTTGCTCTGAGACTGGTGATCTTTGGGATTAGAATCTGGAGGGCAAGCAGACTCTGCTTCCTGGGGATCTGTAACTTTCAAGCCATTGAACAGATCCTCTGGAACCCTACAGTTTTCTGACTTCTCCCCCATGCTGAATCAGTGAGGGAGAAGTTGGCTCTGGAAAAAGAGAAAACACGTTAGTTAACAGTGCTTATATTAAAAAAAAAAAAAAATCCCACCTATCATGCCTTGACATATATGTTATGGTAAGACCATAAATAACGCCAAGTCATTTTAACTGCTACCCCTTTCAGAACTTCTTATAAGCAACAAAAGAGACTGACTGTAATGATTCTTCCACTTTCTACTGCTTGCATTTTGTCGGGATAGCAAAAAATAGGCAGAAGCTAAAAGAATGGCAAGATAAACGAAGTGGCCATAATCTTTATTCAAAATGGTCAAGTCCTATATAAGAAACTATATCCTGTCTTTTCAGCACCACCACATGAAGGTCAAGAATGAGTTTCTGGTGGAGCTCAAAATGCAATCTATGCCGGAACATTGACCATTAACTTCATTCAAGTCCGTGTGATACAACCACGCAGGTTACAGTGGAAGGGGACCCCAAGCGCTGATAGTTCTAATCAGGACGCCCGTCGGGGTCAGAATCAGGCACTAAAAGAGTGGTTCTCAACCGTAGCTACACAACGTAACACCTGGGACCCTTTAGCAAGTACTGCTACCCAGATTTTATCCTTCGCAGCTTCCGATTCATTGGTCTGACGCCTAGCTAAGGCATCTGTATTTTTAAAAAGGCATCCCAGGTGATTCTAATGAGCAGCCAATTGAGAACCACTGCGGCAGAAGCCGAGTCAGACCGTCAGCAGCCCCACCCCTCCGGTCGCAGCAAAATCACGCCAATGACCCTTGTGTCGCGACAAGAGCCCGAACTCGCCCCAGCTTGTCCCAAGAAAACTTAAAATAGCAAGATCCTAGTACGGAGACTTCGCCTCCACAGCAATGTTTTCTCTCCGCTCCCAGGTCTACTGGAAGAACGTGGGAATTGGAAGCCCAGGATTAAGAAGGGGCCACCCAACGCTTCCCAACAGTTCGTGCCCTGGCTACGTCCCTCACCGTCAACGAGATAGACCCAAGTGGCTACTCACAGCTTCACAGACCCTGTCTTCTTCACCTTCCTAGCCGGAGATCCTTTACTTCCGTTCAGTGATGTGCATTTCCGTCGGCGCCGACCAATGGCGTCGCTGTTGGCAAAGCATCCTGGGAAATGTAGTGGGACCCTCGGAGGGCGTCGCTGGCGCTGTGTGACGTCATTGTACGGACTGAAATACGGGTGACGGTTGCTGTCTTGGGTTACGGCCAGCCTCCGCTTTGGCATACAGGAAAAATGAAAAGAGAAAGGCTGTCTCTATGGTGTTTCTTTTATTCCTTAACTCTGACCTCTCTCATGCTAGCAATGTATAGAAGAATCCTGAAGCATAAGTCTTGTCCAAAAATAAATATTTCCCTCTAATGATTCTCAAAGTGTGCCTTTCAAGGGGTTCACCGCTAGATCAAAATAATTTTCATAATAATACTAAGTCGTTATTTGCCTTTTCCGTACTCCTTTCTTCTGAACGTACCCGTAGAGTTTTCCAGAGGCTCTGTGTCATGTGATAGCACAATCAATTGAGTGCAGGAGCTATGAGAATCCAGCTGTCTTCTAGTACGCCAGATTTGCGAAATGTAAAACAGTGCCACTCTTCTCAGTATATATCTTTTGTTTTGGAAAACAGTTATTCATAAAAAATATATTAGCATATAATGGGTCTATTATCTTAAATGAGTTATTTAAATTCTAATTTCTAATACAGTAGATATCGATAGGCGTAACCCACATAAACAAAAGCGTTTTGTGGTCCTCAATAATTAAGAATATTAAGAGATCCTGGAACCAAAAGCAAATTGTTGCCCTATCCATTCATTCAAGAAATGTTTATTAAATGTTTATTAGACCCCAGGCATTGTGCCGGGAATACAGAATTGAGATATCCCTTAAGGTATCCAGACAGGTAACCAGTAATGACAGCAGGGTATTAATTAGTTTTCTGTGCTTCACAGAACCTATTTCCCAGATAGCTGGAGAGACTTTAGGAAGTGTATCAAACTTCTTTTTTGAATTTATGTCTAAATGAGGTTATGCATACAGTTGTATTTTTGTGTAAGTCAAAAGCTTTAAAATAGTAAAAGTAAACATTGAAAATATATGAAAAATTTTGAAACCTTTTAGTATTTTTTAAATACAGCAATAACTTCAAAAATGTAAGTGGTTAGGTCTCTTATGACCTGTAAGAAGTCTTATTAATTAAATCCTAGTGTAATAGAAAAGCTGTGAATTTTGGAGCAACATAAATAATAAACTCAAGTCACAACATCAGCTTTTTACTTTACTAGTTGTTCGACTTTGGGTGATAATTCTAGTAGCTAACATTTATTATGTGCTTATCAGGTTATATATACTGTGAGAAATGATTTAGGTGGATTATTTATTTGAATTCTAATCCTAGCTCTGCCACTTGACTAGCTGTGTAACTTTGGGGCAAATCACTCAATGCTTCTGAACTTTGATATATAAATTTACCTCATATGTAGAAATTGGGATGAGTAACAATGGTACCTCCCTTTCAAGTTTGGGGAAAAGCAGTGATGTAATCTAGAAGGAGCACAGGTCTTTGCACATAGTGTTTAATGAATATTGGAGACAATAACATGTGACAGGCCTTATGACAGTAGCTGAGTACTGGAAACCAAATAAGACACAGTCTCTGGTCACCCCAGTCCAGGAGCTCACAGGCTGGTGGGGGGTGAGAAAGAAAAAGAAACTACTGAGCCTAAAGGCAGAAATCCTTTCTCTTTATAGCAAGAAGAACCAATATCCAATTGGTCCAGGTTGGTAGGTCTTCACTAATAAGACACAGACATACCTCAGAGATACTGTGGGTTCGGTTTCAGAGTACCTCAATAAAGCAAGTTAGAATCTTTTTACTGGTGGCGGGTCTTGCCTTCAATTTGTAAAAAAAAAAACCACAACACCTGTGATGTGCAATAAAACAAGGTATGCCTGTATTCGAGTTAGGCTGTTGAAAGAGGAATAGTTCATTAAGAGGAAGAACACGGGGGAGGCTGAAAGACATCATGAAAATACCAGGAGCATTTTGCAGAATGTTATTCTTATTTGGAAATGATTTAGATAATCACTAAATATTTATGATTTAGTTTAACTTAGTATAAACGTTTATCTTATTTACATTTACTTACATTACTTGCTTTCAACAATTATGCTTGAATTAGACATTAAATAGCTCATCATCTCGTTATTTTTCTCATTGACAAGTTTTGTAACAGATACAGCCTGAACTTATTTCATCAGTAAACCCAGGTAGAGAAAGTTGTGCATTTACTTGCATTACACTCACTTCTGACAACTCTGAAGAAATGCCTGTTTTTATTAAACTGACAAACTTAAAGCAGCCTTTTATTTATCAGATTATCCCAGATCATGTGAACTTGAAAAACATTGAGGTTAGTTTTTATATTTCCGAGAGTATACTTAATTTATATAGTGCCTGTTTGTCTTTAAATCAATAGAATAGAGTTTTTTACAAATTAATTTTGGTAATATATATATTCCAAGGTAGAAAAATATCACATGTCTATAACAGCATACATAGACACACATAAATATACAGGCAGACAGATATCTTTGAAAAATTTTAGTCATGTCTCAGGTACCAAACTTAAAAGAATAGTTAGATCCAAATTGTGTTTCTGGCTGATGGACTAAGACTACCTGCTCAGATGCCCAGAGTCTTTTACTGAAGATATTTGTGTGGTAAGGATCTTTTTAGTGCTGTTTTTGGAGTCGTTTAGTCTTTAAGAAGCTTCTGCATACCAAATAATACATTCCATTATCTCCCAGGGGTTTGAGAGTCTCTTTACAAGAGTGACCCTTAAGACGGACTTATCTAAAACAAAGTTTGCCCAGAATTGCCATTACAATTCCAAATTATCCTGATATGCACACATTTTTCCAAAAAGGCACAAGATCCTGGTCCAAAAACAGGGTGGAATGTATCTTGCATTTGGAGACCCTAAAACCATTTATCGATGAAGGGCCCTGTTTTCCAACAGCTATTCCAAAACACTAGGAATCATGTCTCCCCTCTTTCGAGCAGGATGGGTGACTTGCCTAGAAACTTCAATAGGAACACACATCAGAAAACAAAACAGAAACAGAAAGCTAGTATGCGCAATAAAGTTGGAGAGCTCAGAAGGCACAGAGAGCCAAGAGAGACTCACCCAAGAACTCCACGTTGGTAAGAGAGTCGTGAGCAAAAAGGGCTCCGTGGGTACCAGCACCTGGTTTGCTTACTGGCCTTGGGAGTGCAAGGGTTCATCTTCTTTGGGTCATGTGTCATGAAACGTCAAAGGTTCAGAAACAGCCAAAGTAAAAACCATGAATCACTGAAGTAGTAACTAGTAAAAATGTACTGTGTGCACACACCCAGAAGACAGCTTGCAACCTGGGAGCACTCAAACCAGAACAGAATGAGGCTCGGGCTACACTGTTATAAAGCAGCCTATACGGTGAGAAGGCAGTGACTGTTTACTCTTCCCAGTGATTAGCAATAAGCTAAATTAATGACTAAACTGGTTTTGTCTGCTCAAGGAATCTTCAAGGCTGGTCTCCATTTGATTTTGATTTTAACAATAAGTAGCTGGATGTTGCTGAAGTGTAGAGCACAAAGCAAGACACAAATTTCTACAGCTGGAAGCTGACCAATTAGTTCCTTGAACCACGGAGATTTTGCCTCTTAGTGCTTACAGGCACTCTGTAAGAGGAAAAGAAAGGATTCTCCTCTAGAGGGCAGTTCTGTTGTTATTTTCCCAAGGCCAAGACCATGTGTCTTGTTTACATTGGTAAGGGGTCTGTGAACATCCTGTTATCACATGGATGAAGACTCCTCTTTCCAGAATTTATGGTAATTCAGTGCTCTGATGAATTGCATAAAGAGATTTAGAGACTACTAGAATTACTCTATAGGATTGTTGTAAGAATTAAACGGTGTCATGGCTTATCTAAAACACAGAAAGTGAAGTGCTTGAGAAAGAAAAAAAAATAAGTTTACTATCAACAGTTCTTAGCACAATAAGTGCTCAATAAACATTTGCTGTTATTGTAACTATTATTTTAATGAAGGCCCCGCAGTGTTACTACTATTATGATCCATTATCAAAGTAATGGTAATGTGATTGTTACCAGTGTTACTAATGATAATAAATAGTATTATTAATAGTGATAATATTTACGAAGCTTTCATTCACACACCCCAGACGGGACAGAGCACCAGATTTATTGAAAGAATGAAAGCTGAACATGAATGAATGAAGAATGAATGAATGCTAGGCATCATTCTAGATCTTGTGGTGGGTATAGCAATAAATCAAGAGAGAGCAAAGAAACCATTTTCTCTTTGTTTTTTTTTCTGGGGGTACAGCTGGGTGATTTCTTGGTGGCACATGCCTATCCCTCAATCGGTAAGGAGCTGCCCACTTGGTCTGTGGCCAGTTCTGAGCTGGACTAGGGAGAGGTGAGCATGGCAGGAAATAATGGAGGAAACAAGAGAAGGAGCCTTATACTCACGGGTGGTCCTTTGAGACAACAGGATGGCTGTCCAGCATGGTGACTGAGAGTGTAGGTTCTGTGGTCAGACTGCTTGGTTTTGAATCCCTGCTCTGCCTCTTAGCAGCTGTGTGACCTGATCTTGGACAAGTCGCTGTACCTTGATACCTACCTCAGAAGGTTTCATGAGCTTAAATGAGATAACAAACCTAAACTACTTTGTACAGATCTGGCATAAACTTTAACTTAAAATAAATTACTTTGTGCAGAATTTGCAGGCAGAGATAGAAATCACCTCTGCCTCCCCAGTGACTTATTATGCATACAATGTGGTACACTTTTGGGAGGCTCTGTGCATCTACGCTCCCTGGAGCTAGAGATTTAATAAATCTATGCGAGGCTGACTCAGTCCTTTCTGTGCCCAAAGTGGATGTATTAATACCGCGAGACTTACTGAGCCTGGCTTTGGGAATAAAGCTTTTGCACTCTGGGATGTATTCTCTGCCTTCTCTTAGAGTTGGGGTGGCTGAACTTGCCAAAGCAGGTCCAGTATCCAGGAATAGTCAGGGATACTGAAGAATTCCTTGAGGAATGAGATGTATGAAAAATACTTAAAAGATGTAAAGCCAGTATTCCTATAGT